AGACTAGTAACGCTTGATCATGGGGCACTTTGAGAATTTGGCTAATGCAAAATCCCAAGCATTTACCCCGAGGACTACCAATGTGATTTTGGAGGTATTTGGAAGGTCCATCCTCGAGGTATCTCGAGCACCATGCAAGCTCGAGGACTCGGGTCCCATGATCCATAAAGAGGAGCCCTTGCAGTCCTCATGCTCGAGGTGTCATAATAATGACCACATCAACTGTAAATGTAGCATTTCTCATTTTTTTTGGTGGGGAACATAAGTGATTCAATTCATGTTTCTTGAAAACGAAATCAAATCATTTCCATTGAGAATTAAGAATCGGAATTCAGCAGGATTAATGGAAATTCTCGACAACATGATCTAGTAGCAAGGAATTCCACTGCTCATGCCCTCAATTTGATCTATAATTAAGTAGTTTTTCTCTATAATTAATTACTAAACGTGATTGATTACGTAGAATTGTATAATAATTAAACATATATATTTTTTACAATTTTCACGTGAGCAGTACGGCGTCGTTAGCTTCTCTCTCTCTCTCAGTCGCATACAATACAAATAGACACAAAAATCTCAGCTGCACTTCTCCACCACAATAATCTCTGTGGCATCAGAGCCATGAATATACATTCTCTAAACTGTTCGATCATATCTATATAAACCCCTGGAATCTTCCTACCATTGATGGATTTCAATTCCCAAAAAAACCCCAAATTTTCAAACTCCAATTCCTCTCTTCTACTTCTACTTCACCCTTTCCTTCCCATCCTTTCATGGCTCTTCTTCTTAACCCATGTGTTTTTTCTGTTTCGAATTCACGAAACATCACATTTTCCCCTCCTAGGGCTCGGCTTAAATTTTCTGCCTCCGCCGTGAAATGTAGTGTAAAATCCGGCGAGGCGGAGAACACGTGTGCCGCAATTGTATGGTACAAGTATGATCTTCGAGTCGATGATCACTCCGGCCTCATCGCTGCTGCCTCCCAGTATCGCAAAGTTGTTCCTGTTTATGTCTTTGATCACCGCATCGTCTCCGGTAAATCAATTATCTCTTCTACTTGAATTGCATTATGTGATCCAAGGACGCTTGCACTATCACAAACATACATCATTGGGTATATTTGTGGCAATGCACGCGCTTGAACAATTCTTTATATTGGGAAAAAAGAAATCAGTTTTGAATATTCTGCTAGTCTCAGAGTAGGATGATCTTCTCTTTGTCTGTTCAGGAAACGTTAATTACTTCATATAATATTGTCTTCGGATCTAATGTTAGATGAAATGCTGGTGTTTTAGAATAAGACGTTTGACACTAAATACAATTTTAAGGATTATTGAAACGAGGATTTTCCAGAGCAGTTATCATCCTAGGAGAAAATGTTTCAAAAATTTCAGCATGGTTACCATTGATGGATCATAAATCATGAGTCAGAATGTTGAAAAAGATTGCAGTGGGAGAATATATATAAAGCAGTATTGCGTTGGTTTAACTTTTACTACCACTAGAAGGTAGAAAATTCAACCTAACAATTGGAGGTTCACTTTTAAGCAAGCAACAAGATTGGACAAAAAAAGAGGGCTGGTGGATTGCTGCAGTTCTTCAACTCCATTGACTCTGATCAGGAGTCTGTAATGTAGCAAAAAATGCTGAGAAAATGATATCAGTTGTGCAAAAATGTGTCCAATATGTGAGTGCACGAAGATTTCATGAAGCGTTGATAGAGAGATTTTGATTTGGTTAGCAGTTATGCAAAATACATATCCCATATTTGGCTTGCTCAACATTTAGCTAAAATCTTGTCTCACTTGAAGTGGTTGACTACTAATAATTTTAAAAAAAAGATGTTTACTATTTGACTAGAAATGTGAGCGTTTCATGACTTTATGGCATGCTCCTTTTGTGATACTTTCTGCAATGATTAGAAATTACCAGATATCTGTAGAGAAAATTAAGAAAAATGTTTTATTGCACATTATATGTGAGATCAAGCTCGTATTTGTTGAGGCGAGAATTTGTGTAATTTGATGACAGTTCCAATGACCTCACAATATGTTGTTTTTTTCATAATTGGTGCAGGATTTTCAGATGAAATGCTCGAACTGCTTCTTTTTGCTTTGGAAGATTTAAGGAAGTTGCTGAAGGACAAGGGATCCAATCTGATGATCAAGTTTGGGAGTGCAGAACGAGTCATTGGACAACTTGTCAAGGAGGTGGTTAAATACATTGTTTCTCTCATTCTACTATGATATTGTATATAAACTGGGCAGGAATGAGGAGAAATTTCAAGGGCATTCTACTTATTTTGTTATGCTCATCACCAAGGACTATGACAGGTCAACGCTAGCAGCATCTTTGTAGAAGAGGAGGTGGAGTATGAGTTGTGCAGAATGCTAGATAGTGTTAAAGAGACCTTGTCAACTGAATCTTTTGAAGGGAGAAACCCCGAAATTGTGAAGTGTAGCACTCCATTTTATGATGTCAAGGTTTCATCCTTGTCCTTTTTTAGATGCTACTATACTTTTTAGTAATGAGATGAGTTTATATGCATGATTATTTTTAGTTGTTATTGAATGTTTTAATAACTTCATTGTTTATTTATTTTTGCATAGAGTTTGGAGGATCTACCATCTTCATATAATGACTTCAAAAAGCTAAAGTTTCCTATTGTTTCTACCCTTTTGACACCAACATTACCTGGCCCTCCGATGGATTTGTTCTGGGGTAAGTGAATATTACACCTGTACACGTTTCCACCTTTTTTTCAACTAAATCAATTTTCTGATTTTGGCAACTGAATATAATGTCATCTATGTATATTAGGCGATCTGCCAACGCTGGATGACTTGAAGAAATATATAGATGATAGTTCTAATGTTGGCAACTTGAAAAAAGAATGGATTTCATTAAAGAAGTTTTCTGCTCAAAGTGTGCTACAAGGAAAGAAATTAAACAAGTTGGGGGAATCAGAAATAAAAGAAAGAAATCTAGAAAGTTCCAGCTACAAAACTAAACAGTTGAGACCAGAAAAATCAGCATTTGTAACACGTCAAGGGAAATTGGTGGGAGGTGGGGCAAGTCTAGTATTGAATGCTTTGGCTGCATATTTACGATACCTAGAGGGGACTGCTCGAGATGAATGGCAGGAGTATGTCTCTGTCCTTGATCAGGGGCTTGAATTTACATTTCTACTCTTCATAAATTTTTATTTATATGAACTCATTTATGACTGCTTTAGCATCCTCTCTCTCTCTCTCTCTCTCTCTCAACATGGAGTTATTTTACGAAAATGAATCATAAGGTCAATTATCATGTGAAAATTTATTTTAGATAATAAGTGCCTGTAGTTTTAGTTACAAAGCATCTTCTTTATGTCATTGACAACCCATCTCTTTGCTTCATTGACACTTTATTAAGAAGTTGCTGTTGCATCAAACTGTAAAATTGGGACAATTCTAGCCTGTGTAATACCTTAATCATGAGGACTGTAGATATAAAAAAATAATAATAAATAAATAGTGGGTTGAGTCAATTTAAATAATCAGCCGGCAGAAACCAAACAAATTGTTTGGTTTGGGTCTCCGCCGATGGCGAGACCTAATTTTTTGTGTTTTTTTTGGTTTCCGCCGGCGGCGGAACCAATATAAAAAAAAAAAAAAACGTGAAAAGAGAGAAAAAATAAATAAATATATAACCTACTTACCTTTATTGGCAAATTGAATCTTCTGTTTCGAAATCTTATAATTCGTTCCTATAAATAGGTAAGTATTGGGCTTCACTTAAACCCTACTTACCATAAAACATAAAAAGCTTGTTAAATAAATAAATAAACCAAGTAAATCAAGGATTGTGTAAAATAAATAAATAATCAAACAACAATTACGTCAAAAAATAAAAATAAAAATCGAAAATCAAGATTTACTAATTTATTTATTTCATAATAAATTAATAAATCTTGAGGGGGCATTTGTA